TGATGTTGCCATTGAATGTTCAGCGCAATATGGCGGCTGCGAACTGCGTAAGCGTATACACCTGACCCTCAATTTACGTGGACTTTCTTCACGCTAGCCTCTTTTTTTACGGGGTAAATTGGAACACTATTTACGTGGTAGTTTTTACGCGATCTGAATTTACTAAAATGTCATTGTTATTATTTCTTTTGTTAAGCTTATATATTTGTTAAGCTATAGAAATAAATATGTATTTCTGAAACTTATTCCAGCTTTTCTCTTCAATATTTTGTTTCCTCTTGCACCAACAGGCTCTATTTACGCGATTTTCGTTCGCGTAAAACGAACCCGTGTGGAACGGATTTTCACGTAAATCGAGAGCCAGGTGTATTTCGACTATGGTAAGGCCGATCGTCAAGCTGGTAAATTTTGTACGGCTCATTCAAATTAGTTTGTATAGAAAGATTAGAATCCAAATGATAGAGAAATATCGTTTATGAGAATTTGTATACAAATCAAATTGTAATTTGACATAATGCTAGTTTTAGAATATTAATCTATGGAGATAAATAAAAAGAAGTTGATTTGTTCATGTTGTCAAACGGTAATGCATACTTAATGGTTTGCTAGTTAATTTTCGATGTTGGAGGCATGTGTTAGAATACTGTTTTTTTATATTTGTTAACACTAGAATTATCGAGCAGTTTAATATAACTGATATGTAATCAGTCGAAAAATTATAAGAATAAATTATTTTCAGTTTCTTCGTATATTGATTCTAGTATTTAAGTGAAACTATTTATTTTCAAAATTATTTCGAATATTCAATGCTTTTAAGATATTAATAATTATGAAGAAAACCAAAACCATTTTGACTTGTTCGGTAGTTCTAATCAGTTCTAAGGTTTGCAGAATCACTATCACTATTTAGAATATTTTTACGTAAAAATAGAAAAGCGTAAGTTTCTAAATTGAAACGAAAGAAACGAACGTTAGCGTTCTTTGAGTTTTAGCAAAAAGTGGTGGTACTCAAACTGTTAATTCATTCTTTACAGTAAATCCTAGAGGCAGCTTGAAATATTAAGTAATCTACAGACTCTTCAAGCTCACAGTACAAAAGCAGGTAAATAAATTTCACGGCTGCGAGAGTCATGTAAAATCCGTTGAATCCGTTCCAACGAACGGTAGATACTTCATCGGACGGTGAAAAGTGCTCGACAACAGTCCCCTTTTGTGCCGCGTTCCCGAACAAATTCCCGCTCTGCTCGAGTGTTATCCCGATCAACTTTCTTTCGGACTTTCACGGGCGGAACTTCGTTTTCGGAAAAACACAAAAGCTATTCGCCGAGCTAGTTCCCACTCTCCGTTATTAATTCGACCCTTCTTTCTCCCCGGGCTGGCGGCGGTAATGGCGGCCATTGACGAGCTCACATTCGAGCGAAGAAAGCTCCGGTTCCTTGCGTCCCAGCATTGAGGCATCGATGTCGTTCGGTTGGAAAAGCCTCGACGACGAACCGCGCCGAGTGCTTTTCGATACGGTTCGATCGCTCTCACCGTGAACGAAACGAGTCCTTTCAGGCCCGAAACTCGATTCTGGCCTTTCCCTTTATACCCAGCCCCGTCGCGCCACGTACACAACCGCACGCTGTGATCGCAGTACGAATGCGTATCCGATATCTCGAACGTGTACCATGAAATCCTGACGTGGAAGCTGTTTCACCGAGCGACGAGTAATTCCCTCGAATACGATGAATCCCTGTGATCACTTTTGCTTCTCTTTTTACTTTACTCTCATATTAAATCGGAAGTAAATTCATCTGAATCGTCGATCTTTCGTTTTTACCCTTTTTAACCTGTCTGTGTCGTTAACTAGCATAATCCGCGTAAAACTGTTGCTTATCACTGAATTAAGTTTTTGAATGAGTCACTCTGACCCATTTGGTAGTTTTAGTGTTGATTGTTATCGACAGTTTGAAAAATTTTCAGTTGAGCAGCTCTGAATTATAAAGTAAGCTCCAGGTTTAGAGCGAAGATGCAAATTAGGTTAACTTTCGAGCAAGAAATTATCCTAGAACCTTCACCAGATATAAATTTGCTTATCAGAGCATTTTATGGTACTATATTATTCCAACTAAAAATAGTAAACCTCTATCAATCCTTTATACCGTCAAAAATCCGCAAAATCTAAATATTTCCCGTGTTATGTCCCTCGAAGACATAATATTATTATTCTAACTAAAAATGGTAAATCTTTATCGATCCTGTATACCGTCAAAAATCCACAAGATGTAAATACTTCCCTTGAAAACATATATTATTATTCCACCTAAAAATGGTAAATCTCTATCGATCCTTCATACCGTCAAAAATCCACAAGATGTAAATACATTCCCGAGTTACGTCTCTCGAAGACGTTTACGTCCCCTCCGTATTTGCTTGCTTATTTTCCGGAGTCGCGTCGCAAGATCCCTTCGATCCAGCTCTCTCGGCAACCCATTCGATCTCTATATTTTTCAACAGGAATTTCCTCGACCCATCAGAAGATTCTATCAGGTCATCACCGTCTGTGCGGTCGTCGTCGCGAACATCTCCGATACGATCCCTTGCACGACATCAGAAACAAACTAAGGGACTCGAGCAACTCGATTTCTATGAGTTTGGGGGTTCCGGATGGCTCGGCTAAAAGGATCAGATCGCCGCCGGGGTGGCTCATGGCACGAGGAATCGAGTCACACGAAAACCGTGATCCCGCGGCGGCCGAGCGACACCGTCGTTTCAGGGAACTTCTCAAAATTTGGAATCCTGCGATCCCACGCGCGCTGCGAGGTTTAGCCGTCCATTTAGACGCGTGACGTTTTTCAGGTCAGAGAAGAATTCTGTTTACACCGGCAGACAACGAGCGTTTCGGTTCAAACGGCAGTGCTGTCGATATCCGGCTTCCACTCGTCGAGGAATTTTGTGTTTTCTGTTACCAACTTTGTGTTTCAGTGAAATAACGATGCTGATGTTTGCATAAGTTATAATTTGATATACGATATATTATATTGTTTCTTTAATAAGTTACAATTCAATTTTCTGTCGATATCCAGTTTGAATTATTATATGTTTAACACTAGAACTACCAGTTGGGTCAATACCCATTTTAGGTCTCTTTCGCAATTATAGGAAAGGCACAGACGATTTTCTTCGAAATTATTCAACAACTTGATCTAGATAAATACAAACTAGAATATAAGGAAATAGAAAACTCAATAAATGTGTTTCTATAAGTTTTATAAGAAGATGCAGAACAATCAATTTTACTGGTCGGTAGTTCTAGTGTTAATAACGGTTTAGGCCCAGAACGGCCCAGAAAACGGCCATTTGGCCGACAAAATCTCAAGATTCGATTATTCATATAACGAAAATTGCAGGTTACCAATATGTTACTAACTAATTCTAGCTATACAAATTGATGTTCATTAGAAAAATAACAATTCTATGCAAATAAATTTCATCTCTCCATTTATATACCGTTGGAATCGAAACGCAAAGTATCCATTGTCACCGAAAAAACTTCATAACATCCCCATAACAAAACAAAAATATAACCACCGTATATTCAGCTCTATATCTTACAACAAGGTAAGGTAACTGCAATTGCTTTGTCCAAAGCATCTTTCTGTGTTACTCATATTTTTGAAATTATTGAATAATGCCCAGAAAATTGGTCGCGCTGTGCGCCGTCACGACATGTCACCGCGGAAAACTTCCCGGCAGGCTGAAAACGTTGATTTCACACCCAAACTTTGATTGCGCGAGCGTGGAAACTGAACGGGCGCACGCGACTTTAATCGCGCGATCACGAATAACCGATACCGGGCAATTTGCCCGATCGTATCGCCGGTGGCAGTTGGCTTCGGTGAACTGTTATTAACCCGGCCGGCATATTGTAATTTAATGGCGTCGTTCGCGGTGCCACCCGACTTCGACTAATCTTGACGGTCTCGTTCGGCGCGCTTCCCGTCCCTCGGACGATTCTCGCGAGCCGATAAAACCGCCGCTAGCCGGCTGAAATTTGTTATTAAGCATTTGTTAATCATCCTTCGCGCGGCCGGGTTACCGGCGCTTGTTCCACGCGAAACGCCGCGCTCCAGTGAAACGTTTATCGCTCGTTGCATTTAATGATCTTTTCAAAGACTAGCTTTACTGCGAAAATTATTCCTCGTTTCACTCGTGCGCTGTTATCAAGCTGTGTTCGACGGTTCATTGTAAGCATCTTTAGAGATGAAAATTCTTCTTCGATTATACTGAGAACGAGGAAACGAATGAAAGTTTTGAAGCAGCTGCTTTCTTGAGTGTCGTCATCGAAATTACAAGCATGAGTTCTCAATGGAAAATACGAGCTATGTATTCATCAGTTATTAACCCTTTGCACTGTTAAATTTTTAAACCTCATCACTATATATAGGAAAACTCATATATATTGTTATGTAATATATTAAATAGATAATCAATTCTAATCAAACTTAATATATTCTTAAATCCCATGGTAATTACTAAAGTTACGTAGTTAAATGTCTGTATATAAAACCAAGGTTCCTCGTTTGCAATGTGTTAAACTAGAAACTTGTTGGACAAAATATAGAATCCAATGATTGTAATTTTAATTAAAAATATTGATTATTAAAGCATTTGTGTTTAGTTCAAGCTAATCCTAAAAATCGAACACATCATATGTTACAATCTAAATAATCTTTGCAGTAGACAGTAAGCAGATCTCACGTTAAAAGAGTATTTGCTATGCTTTCTAAAGTGTTCTAATAGAAATTTGCATTCGTATCTAGTCTACTTGGAACAGCTGGACAGTCGGATCGCGGAGCTAGAGGATTTCGGTTTCACGGGATCCGCGATCGATCAGAATTTCTCGCCCTCGGAGTGACGAGCGGGACGAGTTCCCCGAATCTTTTCAAGGCTTCGCAACAGACGATATTAAGGTACTTTGGGGATGATCGATACGGGGAGGTTGCTAAGCAGCTTACCTTGAAACCCTCCTCGACGGGGATGAGAAAGGTGTAACGTCCGTCCGCCTTGAAGTCCTCCTGCTTCCTCTCCTTGATGACCCGCTGTCTGAAGGTGCTGCAGAAAAATGGTATCCGTTAATTGAATTGAACCCAGACGTCATTCACGTTGATTACGCTCCCCCAAGCCGAAGAACGTCCCACGGTTTTATAGAAACTTCGAATTATTTACCTTCACGCGAATGTCGTGCGTGTTTTATTGTGGGAACACGTTTGTGTTCGTTGCTGTACGATTTCCTTTGTCACTGTGCTCGTTAATACTAACCGGGAATTGGATTTAAAATTCTGCACTTTCTTTTGTTCATTTAATTTTATATCAGTTCCTACATTGTGCAATTAATACATTGAATACCGCACGATTTTACAAAATACACAAAATGAAACAAATGTAATATCAAATTGTTTCATTGAATTGTTTGATTATTACTGCACGTTTATCTTGTCAAATAAAACAGCATTGTGTTAACTGGATTTTCGATTTTCATCTTTCCCTTTGTTTCTGTTTCCACTGAGAAGAATTGATCATTTTTTCATCTCTATTTTGTAATTATTTGACTGTAAGAAAAGTGCCGGTATCGTTAGTGTGAAGTTGATTTTATTATTGATACTAGGGAAATCCGAAAGGAATCTATTGGAAATAGATTTTCAATTTAATTAGGAATCCGTTAAAAATGGATCTTTAGTTCAATTGCGAATAGAGTAATCCAATTGTAAATCTATTTGCTAGGAACATTAAGGGAACCGAAAGGCAATTCATGGGAAGTATAAGTATTTGTGTAGTAAAATTAAGTTTAAAATGAAATAAGTAAAGTAAAATTACATTTAAAAATTAAAGTTGATCTAAAAATCAATATGAAAAATAGGTCGGTAGATGGGGAAGTGTGTTAAATGAAGGGAATCATATTTTGGATTAATATTTCAAAATGTATATGGAAGAATAAAGCTTTCAGTAGAGACTGAAAATAATCTATCCAGCGTTCATAATAATTTGCGAGGATACGAAGGAATTCTGTTTACTGTAGGTACATATTTCCTCGAAAGGTAGTAAATTGAAGTGGAAATAGATTTCAATTATAATTGTTCACCGATTGCGGCAGAATTCTAGCATTGTTCACGACGTATTTCCTTGAAACTATTGTTACCAGCGATCTTTATGTCACCAATTCTTTCTGAAAGGCAATCTCCGGTTTCATTGGACAGTGGGAGGAGTCCAATTGGAAATATTATTTGGCTGGAAGCTTCTTTGTGCCATTTATGAAAGAAACTTTCTCCTTTTAAGAAGATTTCGATTTGAATAAAAGAACTTTCAGCTTCTATCTGGATTAAGGAAGGCGATTCCTATTTAATAATTAACCTCTCAATAGAATTCGCAATTCGTATAGTATTTCTTACTGAATAAATCACACGTCTGATTATTCTACAAGTTACGGTGTTCTGTTAACATCAACGATAATTGCAGATACAGCATCGCGTAAAGATGGCGCGGGCCCATGGAAATGTTACATTAAAACGTAGCCGCGAAAGTATATTAAAGAAGTTCTTAAGCCCTGATGCTTTACGCTGGTAGAAACAAGCGAAAACGGTGCTCACCTGGGACAGTAAATGAAATGCAGCAAAGCTTAAAGAAGTTTCGGACAGACGAAGCTAATCCACTCAAGTTTTACTTACTCCGATGGCAGCGTACGTCGCGCGCCGCGCGCCGCGGCGTGCCTTTAAATATCGATAAAGACTTGACAAAGTGAGCATCGAAGTTAGTTGAGAACTACGGAAGTTGGTTCTATCTTCATCTTCCGGCGAACGTGACCAAACTCGCCGAGTATATTTTACTTAGGTGTTACACGGGAAAGAAAGTATTTTTGATAATAACCCGCTAATATTATCTTGTCCCGTTACATCACAGGTTAATCTTATTACGTTCCGTAACCGCCAAGAAAATTACGGTTTCTTTCGGTTGTTATCCTGACACTCTTAGCGAACTTCAGTTTTAACGAGGAATGGCGTCAGATAGTTTCCGAGGTGAACAAATTGATTTTACGAAGAAGAATGTTAACCCTTAACTCTTTGCACTCCATAGTCGCCACTCGATTTGATACAGCAACATTGTGAGGTATAATATTTAATATTCCGTTTCGTATGATGCATTAATATGTGAAATATTTAAATAAAGCTCTTTCTGTAATTTATGTACGATTTTTGGTTAAGTTAGCTTCTGGAAACGTTGACTATGTTTCATCAGAAAGTGTGCTGAGTATTTTTGATAGAAAACGCTTGTTAACGAACAACTTTTACTTAGTGGGTCGCGAATACAGCGACAAAAATTATTTTATTATTTTTATCACTGTTATTGTTGTAATATTTACAATTAACGTGTTAAATATCGTGCTAGGTCACTTCTATGAATTTCTTTTCGCTTGTTATCTACGTTACGGTATTTTTTGGTAAGTAAACTTGAAATACTTCCGGTCCATTGAGGGTTAAGTCGAAAAAGCTGTTTTTAAGGTGACATTGTTTGGAGTTTTTAACGAAATCTTCTTTATAATATTGATTTTGAATTGGCGTAAGTAGATTGACGTTTTAGTGGATAACGTTCAAATTTCGGACAGGGAGCGGGATGAATATTCATGATTCACGATAGAAAACTATCCTGCGATATTTATATAACAAGAACTTCCGTTAGAAGTGTATTTCAATGAATTCTTCCAATATGATGCGCAATCAAAGCGTGATTGTTCTCAAATGCGTTGCTGCGTTTGAATAGCTACATCGCGCCGTGAACAATGCAGCGGCACAATCGCTCGTTTCGAAGAGTGTGCCCGGCAAAAAGAAATAATGAAAGGCGCTGCGATACCAAAAGAATTGTGTAATTGCAAAAACTCGTCATTTATTTTCATAGTATAAATTTATTCCTTCCGTTGCAATCAAAATGTTTACGTTCAAACTTTAACCTGTTCAGGAACGAATTCCTTTTGAGAACAAACAAGGATTCTGCTTTTCATTTGGTTACAATTTATGTTGTTCAAACTGATACGAATCGAATGATACAAAGACTAACGGAGGCATTGATGGAAAACATACGAAGAAAAAGCAAGTGTCCATTCGATGGACGTTAACACGTTGCTACGAAAAATATCAGCCTTTTACGTATCACTTATCTTGTCTATACTAAAGATACAAAACAAGAATTATTAATTCTTTGATATGAATATTCCTATATTACCCTATTATCCAGTTATTTACGTTACGAAAAATTTGTATTCGAAATCAATTATCCTCCAAGTCATAATTATTTTCTTGTAATTTGGAAGCTCTGGTCATCGGTGACCGTGGCAGTCAAAGTGTTAATGTTCAAAATCAATTATACCGTCAGTTGCTGGGAACCTGTCACTTATGACGTCATAGGGGCGGAGACAATCGTTCCGAGGAATCCAATAGCGAGCCTGGAAACGGCTCTCCCCACTCTTTGTCGCGCGACTCGATTACTGTTGCTGAGCGCCTCAGCCAATCATGTACCAGAACCGAACATTCGCGTGGAGAAGGCGTGTGCTTTCGAATCTGACCACTCAAACGAAAGTGTCAGGTTCGCTGCAACGGACAGTACACATATGTGCTCGTACCTTGAAGAGATTATGTCCATCGTACCTATACATCTCGCGCGAAACTTTCTACCGATCGATGAAATTCAATCGAGAATCATTGGTAAACTGATTACTCACCGTACTCGATGAACACCTAAGTCGAGCTTCTCACTTTGGTTCAAAAACTCGTAAGCATTCGGGCTGGAAATCATTTCCGCGGAGTTCGATCGAACTGGCTCCAGCACTTCATTTATAACGTGCAGAATCTGTAACAAAACCGAAAAGAACATGCGTGAATAATGATTCCATTTACAAACTTCTCTCCGGTTTCTATGCTCGATTCCGCAACGATAACATTTTACGCTTCATTTGTTCGCATTGTTCACTGTTTCGCGTTCATTCGTCTCGTTGTTCCCCGCACAAAAAGCGAACGCTCTCGTAATTTAACAAGCAAACAGGTACGCGATGAAAATGTTAAGGGAACCGCGGAACGATTTACAACTAATTAAAACGGCATGAATGGGCCAGTTACAAGGCGCGTGGAGTGTATTACACCGCTTCAACGCATGCGTGTCTTCATTAAGCCCCGGTCATATCAGTTTTAATTAATCCGGAACCCCGCGGCCGTTGGTTTATTTACAAACAGGACGAAGGAAAAGTATTTCGCAATTTAAAAACCTCGAAATTAACTCGGGACGATAAATTCGCGGCGATGCTTTCGGGCTTCACGTAATCCGAGTAAGCTGCATACTGTTTCATAGCTTCGCTGGAAAACCATCGACTGATGACACCAGCACGCGAAAACACGACGGAAATTTGAAAGTAACGCGCGAAGAATCGGGCACACAGAAACTACGGCCGTGCGGCGTGGCGCGAATTTTGGGACATCGACTTCATAAATACCGACGCATTCCGCCTATTTCTACCTTCCCGTTCATTTCCACTTTCAAATTTCAATATTTGCTCGGTTCATACGTGCAGTTAGCGTTCTCGAGTTCGCACACGGGATCGCTTCGTTATCTTTTTACCAACGCAACATCATAATTACCATTATCCACCTTTAACACTATAATCATTCCTATCATCAACAACGGAAGACTACCAAAATTACAAACAGCACGATAAATCCTGTAAAATACAAAATGATTGATTAAATTCCCCAAATTCCCCCGGCCAAATTAATTTCTTCTATCGAGTCACATAACGACGAATAATTACTTTCGTCGAATTATCAGCAGCAGTAAATTACCTTAACAAAAGACAGACATTTCTATGTAACTATATAGATCCTTTTAACCTACTTAGATTATTTGAACATTAACCCTTAAAAGACAAACTCGGTGCGATTCTTTATTTAGATCACAACAAGCTGGAAAATTTCTATATTCATCGCAGGTTAATTGGATGAAACGGGAAAGGGCATTTGAAGAAAAGTTACATCGTGCAATACCGATTAAAAGTTATGACATTTTTTATTGTATCGTATATGTACAAAACAGGTGTACAGACTACTTGTCAATCGTACGGGCGTGCTTCACACACGCGTTACAGGGGATGTTGGTAGTCTTCCGTTGTTGACGATGGGAACGATTTGTCTGTGTGATTTGTAGTGTTCAAGGTGGATATTGTGTGATGAAAATTTCGAGAATGTCCCCGGCCAAACGATCTCCATCGCAACGATTATCCCAATAAGGAAATGCTCGGGTGCTGCGTGGAACGTGGCATCCCCTAATTGTTTAACCGCACGACGAGACAGAGAGAGGAAAGGAAAGAACGCTAGGGGTGACGAAGTAGGAGCGGATGCACAAAGGGGGTTTGCCATTTCGGATCGACAAGCTGAACGAGGAGAGCTCGAGAGTAAATTGCCCGCAGAAATCCGGCTCGCTTGTAAACGTGAAAGTATACAGTTAATCTCGTGAAGCCGCGAGCCGACCGCCGATACAGCCGTGGCGGGGCGGCCGGGGAGGAAGATATAGTAAGACAAATGACATCGCGGGCCAACCTGAAGGAAACGGGGACACGGGAACGATGGAGGAAGAAGATAAACTGGGAACGAGAGGAAAAAGGGACACCGAAGGATCCCTCCCCCCCTGGCCAGGGGTATTTATTCTGCGGCGGGAAACTCAACTATTTCATGGGTGTCGAGTCGGATACCATTGAAACGGGACTCGCCCTCCGCCCATCCCCGGTTTCCAGCCTCATTGGAAAAGGTGCACGGCCATTTACTATCCTCCAAGCTCGCGACCGGGACGTCCTACTTCCCCGCTATTTATCCGCTTTTCTTCGCGATCGTCGTGATTCTTTTATCTCGCCGGATATCCTTCTTCTACTCGATAACGCCGTTTTGTTCTTTCGCCGGGCTGACGGACGCGACGGCGGACCGGCTAGGATCGGGGGCCCTGGGGACGCCCGATCACTCGCGTTTTTCCTTTCGCCCCGGTGCTCCCGGTATCAATTATATTCTGGGAGGATAATAACGGAAATAGAATTGATAATGGTGTTGTTGTATTGCGAGCTTTTTTCGTAACTGTGTTTGATGTAGGTGTTAGGGTGTCCTGTTAGTTGTCTTCTTTCTTTGTTTAGTTTGTAAGATGAGTTTTAGTAGAATTTGGGAAATGGTGCTAGGAAGTTGATGCTGAACTTAGCGGGTTCAGATGAAGCATTCCTGATTTCAAGGGAAATTATTAATCCGTCTGCTAACTTTCTGTACAGATTATGGAGAAAAATCGGAGCTCTATCGATCGCTTGGATTCAACCTGAAGAGTTTCGCGTTGACACTAAAACTACCAGATGAGTCAACATGAGTTATTACTGATTTCTTCTTTTTGAGATTATTAGAAAGGGAACAGAAGTTTCTCTGAGAAATTATTCAAGAAATTGATTTAGCAAATTGAATCGTTAATCAATTAGAGTCTCGATAGATGCACCCTTGAAGTTTCTATATAGGAATTCCAAAAATCAATTTAACTTAGGTTTAGTGTTAATTGAAAAATGGGGAAAGATCGTATAGAACAATAGGCGATACGTTGCCAATTAAGACAAAGGGAGTATTAATCTTACTTACACTGGTAAGTAGAATAGAACGTTACTTACAGTGACCTAATTATTGCGAATAATGTATTAGAAACAGGAAAGAGATCGACGCGGTTGTTACAAAAATGAAATATCGATAGATTGCAAGATGAATTACGATTCAGTGACTAATGGTATATTCGGATACGTCTATCAGTCAGAATAAACCGAAAAATAGTGCACACCGTTTCTAAAGCTCGAAGCATGACATTGACGGGCGAGTGTACCGTTAAGCCGCGCGGTGTGTTTATTCCCGAACACGTATGCACATATCTAACCAGCGATACAGTGGTAAATCGTGCTCGCGAGAGCAAAACGATAAGCTGTCGATTCCAGTTTATAAAGCTCTCCTCGCAGGAATATTCTTTCCCCTGCGCGACGTACCGAAGGCTGCAGCTCCGCGTTCGATAAAGAAAGAGTGGAACGGGCGAGTGGGTGGGATCCCATGGAAAGAGAAAGAGACAGGGAGAAAACAGAGATTGCGCGATAACAAAGAAAATAGGAAGAAGAACGGCGGAGGAAGAGCCCGTGTTCCATTTATTCGGGTAGTCCTCCGCGCAGGAGGACGAAGGGTGGAAAAAAATACAAGAAGACAACGAGCTCTCGCGTTTGTATGCCAGAGTGGCTTCCTAGAAATGAATCGTTTCGCTTTGGTCTCGCGAGAAGGGAAACCAGGGCGAACTTTTCCGTGCCCCTTTGACGACCATTTATCTTTCTCACAGGATTCGAATCATTGGCGAACATAGGACCGAGGCACCGGAACGAATCCTTAATTTCTTATACGGTTTGATATATACGCGCCGAGACAAGACAGCGACTTTTAAATTCGATTGTTTTGCCAATGGCAATTTGTCGAAGCAACGGATTATTCAGGAGATATACCGCGTAAACCGTGCGATTCGTTTGATCCGGTTATTCGCGTCTGTTTATGCAATTGCTTTATTTCTTTGGAGAGGATTTCCATGTAGATATGTATCAGGATAATACGAATTCGAATAAATGGAAAGTTAGTGCACGGTGGTCACCGATGTATTAAAGATAGAATGAATTATTAACGTTTAGTGCCGCGCGATTTTGCTGAGGAAAATATACAAAATGAACATAATGTGACATCAACTTATATAATTGAATTACGTTATTATTATTGCGGGTTTATCTTGTCGAATGTCATAGCATTAGGTATTACTTGTGATATAGAAAAGTTTTCGAATAATCATCGTTTAATCGAACGGATTATAGTAATTTGATTTGATTGAGGTCATCGGTGACCCCCATCACCGTGTTTTTTTTGGTAATTATTAATTATGTAATATTGAAAGGATAAATGTCAATTGAAGTATCAGTATCATCGATATTTTCAGTGGTAAGTATTGAAATGTTATTAAATATTTATATATCTTCGTGTTCTTTCAATGATTTAGTAGTTTATGAAAGATTTCAGACATCAACATGTGTTAACTGAAGTGCTCAATAACCGTAAACGTTACAGTTATGACAATGGCGATACAAGAAGACAGATTGCACTTAATAGTCCTCGGAAAAATGGCAATTCTAACAGTTCAGGTGATCAATTCTGTACATACGTATGTATGTATGTACGCGTGCACCCTTGTTGGATGAATTTTACACGGAACTGTTAGGTACGTGTGCGAAAGCTCCGTTCCCGGAACACGACATTTCTTGAGGGTGAACTTCTGGGACAACGGACGCACATCTTTCAAGGAAGGCGCAGCTATTTCTCTTCCTGCGGTTAAGAAATGGTTCTGTTCGGAAGTTCTTGTGAAATTAAAGGACCCGCGTTCCCGGCCTGTTTACTCTTTTATGAGAATATTTTGGATTGCTGGATGTAGACAGTCGCGCCGGGGAATAAAGTGGAAATGAATAAGAGAACGAATTTGGCACGAGAATGCAAAGGAACTGAGTTCCGAAGGATACTGATATTAAACTTTATGCGAGCACACGGGATTACGTATGAATATTAATGTCCTTTCATTTTTCCCTTGAAATTTATACAGTTATTTCGGAACAGTTGAAGAATTTAGCGGTTTACAGATTACGAATGCGTTCGCATACGATATTCCATTTCTAAAACAGGAATTATCACTGAATCATAGAATGAATACTTTTCAATCATAAAAATTGAAGAGATTACCCGAAGAATCGTATGGAATTAATTATTTCGATAAGTTTGCCA